CCGCTGCTGTCTTCTCACATTCCAGTGCCCTGGGACAGCCAACCCTTGTTGATCCTGCCGCTCCCGCCCCACCTCATTGCTGCCACCACCCAGGACAGCAACCACACTTGTTGTTCCCTGCCATTTTGCACCTCCCCCACTTCTACCAACATCCATTTCTTTCCAACACACCATTCAGCCCTTCCACGCCCCTAACAGCTACCACCACCATCCCAGATTCATCCTAGCCATGTTTTATGTGTCGTGTTTGTTGCAATTTCCTAATTTTGTTTGTTAGGTTGTGCTTTCCTATTTGAATTCATGAATAATATTGCTTTCCTCCTGTTGTTTCGTTAAACTCTGGTATCAATAAGACGGGATAAATATGATAAATTTGGAAAGATTAGTAGTTAAATTAGATTGAATTTGGAAAAGATTGGATCATATAAGATTAGATAAGATTAAATAAGCTTAGAAAAAATAAAATTGACCAAGGTTGAAGACGATTAAGATTGAATAAGACAACATAAGATTGGATAAGATAAAATAAGAAGAGATACCATGGTGTGAGAATAAGATAAGAGGCAAAGATGCCAAAATCAATGAACCAGAAGATCAAGTCTGAACCTACATAAGATGTTAAAAACCTAAGAAACTCTATCTGATGTTGTTCTAGGCTTAAAAATTAATAATTACCTAAAGAATTACTTTATATCTAGGCTATAATGTTGATCAAAATTTAAACATGCACTAGAATATACATCAAAACCTACAATATATCATTTGTATATTTTTGTCAGACAAGCATACAAATCTTATTTCAAAAGCTGTATTCGTAATAAAAATAATCTAATGATAGTGGATTTCTAAGTAAGTTCATGAAGAGGAAAAAGAAATGCTTATATGCAATAACTCAAGAATACCTTTATAAGAAAAACAATAATTCTTTCAATATAAGTAGGAAGAATATTAAACAAAAAATTTATCAGGGCTACTTTTTTTTTCAAATTGGGCATAATTGATGTGATTTTATTCCTTTGGTTGTGATCTTCTTGATGTTTATTCTTGCAATGCTTTAATATTTCACACCGAAAAAGAAAGAAAATCAGCATGTGACAAACATGACAATCTCAATCATGCAAATCCACAAGGCAATGTATAAAAATCTACCTTACAAGAAAACAAATAGACGCAAACAAGAGAAAAAAAGATGCATTTTACAAGGAAAATCTTGATGTATTTAGCAAATGCTTGATTCTCCACTACAGTGTAATACTAAGAAAATGAGTACATCAATCATTCCTAACTACGGTACAAAATAGAAATAAAAATAAAGATACTAGGACTTTCCAAATCACTTAGCAAGATAAAACCGAAATACAAGTGATTGCGGACATCTACTAACAGAACTAGAGTTAAAAAAAAATAGATCAAACTCACCTAGTTAGTCAAAACACTAGAAAATGCATCTCATCATCAAATGCAACAATATTATAGGGCAAGTTAAATTAAAAAAGCAAACAAAAAACAGAAAAATAAGTCAACCAAAAGCTAAAACATCTCTGTGCTCGTCTCAATGCTCTATCATGTGCTTTTTATGAGCAAAAACCTGTATGTTTCCATTATGTTTATCCGCCTTAAGAATTCAACTTAAATGGAATAAAAATTTAATACTCGTCAAGTAGAACCAATCAGAACAATTAAGCTTCATATAAGATAATCCATAAATCATCGTAAGTAGGACCATCAAATCAATACGTATGATATATCTGATATCCACCATCAATAGTTAACACAATCTCAATATGAAAATGGCTTCAATAAAAGGTTTAGTAGGTCTATCTAACAAAATGTTAGATGTGAATTCATAGGAGGATAGGGAAAAAAAATGAATCTATAGCACTGATAGTAATAATGTCCTTACCTTATCAACTGGTTTAAAATAGATATTTATTTTCACATCAACAGCAAATTTAATCATAATTAACAAATTTTTTTTAGAGAATATCTTCAAGCAAATGAAGTGAATCATGCAAAGAACTAATGTCATATGAAGCAAGCAATGAAAATATTAAAATTCCAACACACATCTGGATACCAATAATAATTCATAACTTATTATTAATTTATGAGATGATAAAAATATTTAACATCCACAAGGCTAGAAAAAAAATGAAATATTGTATCAACAAACAATGGAACAACCTTCTTGAATAAGACTAAAAGACTACTTCCGATGAACTTACACTTTTAGCTTTAAATGAACAGATACAGATTAAAGAATCAGATTTCTTTTAAGTCAAGTTTGTCCAATCAACTCGGCATATACAATAGCCATAACCTTTTCCCATCCAGAGAAAGAATCATTCAATTAGAAAATCAAGTTCACAATCAAGAAAAGATTCCATTTCCAATATAATTTCAGGTTCACAATCAAACTTAGAATAATGTTCTAAATAGCAATCAAAGTTTAAATACATAATCTGTGGTTCAATTTCATGAAAAAAGATTTAATAACTTCATGTTTAACTTTGATTTCAAACTCAGGTTTTAAACGGTCGCTTAAATATAGGTTCAAGAATAAGTTTGAGAGTAAATTTAGATTACATTATAACTGCAAACTAACTTCCTCAATTAATACATCATCAAAAGAATTTTCATAAACAACTATTTCTACAATAAAATCACATACGACTATGCATGATTCAGACAAACATAAGAGGAGAAAAATTTATCATCACGAACTTCAATCAAAAGTGTGGTTACCCTAAAAAAATGTTCATGATTTACAACTATATTCAAAGATCGAAAGAAAAAACTCATTTAGTGTCAGAAGTAAATCATATCTCAAGTCATCCATAATCTTTAGCTTGAGACAATCAATGAAACACAGAATAATAATAGCATGGTCTCAGGGCTCACTATATTTATCTACAAGAATTTGTAAAGCTTACATATTATTCAAATGCAGAATCGCTTTGTTTACAACTATTACAGTGATGATTAAATTGTTCTCTAAACTCATTGAATAAAAAATATTTTTCTTTAAGTTTGTCTCGAGTAAATATACAGTGAATATTTTTTTCACTTACTAACATTGTTTCACCAACTTAAACCTTTTCGGAATCAAGTAGATGAGATTTTGAATAAATCTTTGAAGCATCGATTGATTCTCAAAACTTCTCAAGGTTATATCTCTCATTAAATGTATGAACATAATTTGATCAGATGAAATGCTTGCTTAAAATTATGATTAATTATATCATTTATTGATTTTTAAATGTTCAATTAATCTCCTACTTCTAGTAAACATAATAAAGCAATGACACGCTCCAATATCAATTTGGTGCAAAATATCATATGATCCAAAATTTTTAACAGAAACCTAGGATAAGACGCATGAATAACTAAGCAAAAGATCATGAGACATAGTTTCCCAACTTTATATTTAGATGAAGAGCAATCTCATTTGAGGCAAAACTAAAAGCTCAAACAATTTGCAGCATACAATAACTTAGTAGTACTCCAAAATCTAAAATTTCACAAGAATCTTGAAAATGAATGAAGTCCTCAAAGCAATTCAAGATTCACACCACAATAACATAAAAATTAGGCTCATTTAATCAATTTCTTTGATACAGTACGACACCAAGAACGAAAAAAGTCAATTGATCACAACTAAGATGCCTAATAGAAAAAGAAAATAAGGCTTTCCAAGCCACGAGGCATAATAAAATAGGGAGCACAAAATAAATAAATGAGAGAGTATGAAAAAAAAATAAAAAACAACTTGCAATAGCAAACTAAACAAACTAAGGCACTCGAAATACAGGAGAATGAATCCCATTTGCATGGGCACCAATATTGTAGGCATGCTACATTGAAGAAAACAAATTAAGAAATAGGAAAATATGAGAACAAAAAATCAAAATGTTATTGTTTTCACTTAATGCTGCAACCAATGTTTCAAAAAAATATAAATCTTCAAATCTCCACCAGTACGGCTATTTGCAAAACTATAGTTAGCCCACCGCTTTTTTGTCATAATAATTTTGAAGTGTTCATGTGGAACCCAATTTTTATTAACATTTCATGTGCTTCCATGCAACTGTAGCTTCTTTACTAGTGGTACTTGAGAGGTTCCTACGTGCCTTCAACTTCACTTTTACTGACTTCATATTTAGCAGTTACTTTCTAGCCTACACATGTTTAAAAATAATTCTAAACTTAAAAAAATTGCTTTTGGATTTACAAATTATTCTTCTACAAGGATTCTTATTTCTCAATCATTTATCATGTTTGACACTTGAAATCCTACAAGACATAATCTCGTCCTAGACATGACATTTATTGGTGTCTTCTTCTTGACTCCTACCCCCCCCCCCCCCCCCCCCCTTTTTTTTTTTTTCCTTCTCTTCTTTCACAGTACTTTTTTTTTTCTTTTTTCTTTTTTTTGGCACAAACCTCCAGTCTCTTTTCGGGCTTTATTATATTTAAATGTTTTGTAGGTAATTACTATAAAAGAGCCAAAATCTTCACTTGGAATAAATGTTATTACTTATAAATTAATAGATAACTTTCCATGAAAGTTATATGTTTGTTGCACAATTGGATCATATCTAAATCTACTTTGCATGATAGATATCCACTACAAACCCTAAAACATCCTACATCACTTCAAATTAAGAGAAAGATATAATAAACGTCCTATTTCAAACTCTTCAAGCTGATTTTTTGATGCTCCTCATGGCTTCAAGCTAATCAGAACAATAACAATAAGCTTTCTCACAAAATTATTCAATTTAGAAACATAAGAGTGAGCATTATTTCAAAATACATTTTAGGACGTGTGTATATCAAACAATTAAGTAACATAGAATCAAAAGTGCAGGCCAAAATTACAAAATGCCATACATCAAGATAAAAAACCCCGTTAGTTAGATTCAATCATTTTTTTTGTTCACATAAAAAGAATATTAAAAGATTCAGAAGAATAAAAACCAAAACATAAGAAGACTCACATTAGCTTTCCAGGTTCCTTGCAAACCAAACATATATTATGCTTAGTTTGAGCACTGGTCAAATCTTTCGTAACAACAAGTATTTTCTCCTCAGAAATCTGTTTGTTATTTATGCCACCAACTTTCTGATAATCATAAGCAATTGCAGAGAAAGCAGTTAGCATTAGGGACTCCCAAAAGAAGGTTTAGTGTACACACAGCCATGGACAAATAGAGAAAGAAATATATATGAAATAATAATAATAATAATAATAATAATAATAAACAAATAAGATGTGCAATTTAAAAAAAATAAATAGGAAAATAGGTAAAACAAATTTAACTTTATAATGAGAAAGAAAATAATTGACATCACAAAATGTCATGAAGCTATATCATCAATAGTCAGAAACATTGAATTTGTTTACCTCTAACATGGAAAGAGGTGAATCAACATTTATCACACTGGGATCATGATTGCATAGTTCTGCAAATGGTCTAATAAATTGTCAGAATTCAATTCAGAATTCAATTCGGGAACCATTCTTCCATATTTAAGCCCATTCAACTTATTCCTATGTTCTTGATTAATAGCATCAGAATCAGACTTGGAATCAAAAATAATACCTGATAGCTTTTTATTTTTTGAGTCAATTTTCTCTAGTGACTCAGTCGTTTCTACACGTAGTTCTATCTCATCTTGTACGCCCTCCTTCATCATGCCCACATCTCCACTCACCTTTACTTCCTTGGAACTATTTGTCCCTAAATTCATAAAATACCCCTGTTGCGAAGATTTCTCTTTAACATACTTGCCACCTAAACATGTGAGTTAACAAATTAAATATGAGAATGCAAACAAATTCAATTACATTGAATCAAGAAACGGTCAATCAAAATAGCATCAAAGAATCATTTTATCAAATTACTGTCAAAAAACCACAAAGCTATAAAAAAACATGAGTACCATTGTAGCTAGAAAGAAAGCCAGTATAACTTAAGTAGGTTACACAGCCTATTTCAACAATAAAACAAAAACAAGAAATAAAAGAATTACATACCATGGTTTCCACCAGCTATTGCATGTTTTGTCAATAATTTTTTGTAAGCGCGAACATGCAAATGCTTTCTAATTGTCTTCTTACCACTGTCATCACTTTTGCTATCAATCCCCCCTGAAGTTCTGCTTTCCTCATTCACCTTTCGCTGTTTACTCTCAGGACTTGACCTTCTTCCATCCTCATTTCTCGCCATCAATGATGGGTTTCTTTTCTCGTTGTTTTTATCACAAGCACTCAAAGATCTGATTCGATGTGGACTTCTAGTCTTGCTTTCGTTGTCACAAGTACTCAAAGATCTGATACTTAGTGGCATTGTACTCTTTTTGGCTCTATTGCAAGTGCTGGGAAATCCGGACCTTGAATCCTCATTTTTAATCATAGTTACAACTTCATTAGCATGCTTCCCTATATTAATATGAAAATCCGGTGACCCATCTCTTTCTACTCTTAATGATTCTCTCAAATAGCTTTCAGGTACTTTCCTTACAGAGGATTCCAACTTGTTTAAAGATTGAGCATTTAAGTTGTCAGTTTTTGTAGCTCTATGCTTGATACAACATTAACTTGTGTCTTCTTCAGCTGTGGCGCATGGGCATCTGTAACCATCTTATAGTGTTGGGCGAATATAGTTATAGCACAGCTCTACCATCTTTAGCCGGTGAAAACTGCACAAAATAAATGAAGAATTGAGCTTCCGCTCTCTTGAACAAAAAGATGCTACACTTTAACATGATGCTGACGTAAATAATTCAACTAAATTACACATTTTGGCTCAAACAGAAGAAACGCTTGAACAATATCCAAGCAAAAAAACTTGTTAATAAAAAATAAAATGTAGAACTATCTACTAATGGAGATTAATTGTAAGTTAAATACTCAAACCGAGTTTTAACCTAAAAATTTAAGCCTATGGGTGATAATCATAACTAGTTCTAAATAAATATATTCTTCAACTATATGGTGTGGGACAAGCTAAATAATCTCAAGTGCTTAAACAATCACCCCCTCAAATGAGAAGTTTCCAAATTAGTCGCCACTCACAAAAAGTGGGAAGATTTTCACTTTATCAAGCAGTATACATCAAGAGTTCACTCAACCACATTTACTTATCATGGGAGTTACTTATTCATGAACCTTGCTCAACATTGGTAGAAAGCAACCGAAAGTCATGGAAGCAATAAACCATAAGAACCACTCAATTTCAATCAAACCATTTGCTCAAATATCACTACGTAAGGAATATGAAAATCAAAGTTGTAAGGTACCAAAGATTAACCAATACACTAATTGTTAAACAAATTTTCAACCCAAAGGTTAATCAATGAACGAAAGTCAAACGGTTAATATTTTCACTCAAATAAAATTTACCAATTCTTAACTATCAAACTAAATCAAAACTCTCACATGCCTTGGCATCGCACATCGAACAAAACTCCAAGAATTCATCATATTAGCCAGCACAATGAAAAGGACATCAAATGAAAGTATTCTCACTCGCTCGCAACTAGGGCAATCAAAAAAACTCGTCATTCCAGAATAGCTTATGTTTAACTAGTTAAAAAGCTTATATTAGGTTCATTCGTTAAGTAAACAAGTCGAATACAAATAATTTTTTTGAGCTCGATTTGTAAACGAGCCAATCATGAACAAAAATTTGTCCATTCGTGTTCGGCTCATGTTGGCTCAAAATAATTAAATAATTATATATATTTCCATCCTTTTACAGTAATTTTTTTTATTTATTTGAAAATGCTAAATTTTATTATCTTCTAAAAATTTTGAGTGGGGTATAATTATAAAAAATATAAATTTAGGTGTAGATTTTTAAATACAGAATATTTGGATGGTAAGTAGGTAAATGAGTTATTTTGTCCCAACTCCTAACAAGCATTGCCCTCATGCCTTCTTCAGGCAGCTCACTCTATCGGAACGAGGGGAATGGTAGGCGGACCATACATTCCGAGACCTTTCTTTAATCCAGAACGTGAGGCATTTGAGTTATGAGAAATACTATAAAATGCATAAACTAAACATTTCGATGCAAAAAACATAATTAATTTTTTTAAATTTAATAACAGTAATTTAATTAATCATATTTGTAATGTTATAAGGTGGACAAATTAAATTTAAGCCAAACACGAGCTTAATACAAACAAACGAATTTCAATCCGAGCCGACTACAGACAAATTATTCATTAGCTATTTCAAACAAATCGAGCCGAACATAAACGCAAAAAAAATTTGAACGAGCCAAACATTAACAAGCATTAGGCTTGCTCAAGCTCGGCTCATTTGCACGAGAAATTTTTCATACGGCACACGTACGTAACACTACGTGCAGACTCCAGTAATATGATGTCACGTATACTGTATCATGGAGGTTGGTGGAGGGTTATTGAGAATGTAACCGCGGAGGTTATTGTGGGGTTATTGAGAGGTTATTGCGGCATTATTGGAGTTAATGTTTCAATAACCCCTCAAAAACTCTCAAAAACTGTCCTAATAACATCCGCAGTTCCACTCGAACTTAATATTTTTTTTATGTGAGTCCGGCATAGCACATATGGCTGGAGTCCGCACGCAGTGTTGCATTCGTGCTCCGTATGGAAAATTTTCTCTATTTACACCCCTACTTGCAACCATGAATAACAACTCTTCAATCTCATCCCATGGAGCACGGAGCACAACGTAAAAAGAAAAGATGGGAACTCACCATAGGCCTCACTAATCTTCACTTAAAAATTTCATGAGCGAGTTTAGTTGTACTGAAATAGCCGTTAAAATGTTATATTTAAGGTTTGGATGGTTACAATGTTATATTTAATATTTTGGAAGGTTGGTATGTGAAATATCTTTCTCACACAAATATCCTTGAAATTTTGTATGGAAGCCTCGCCCCTAAATTTGAGAAAAACCCTTTCTCCTCCACCACTTCAAATCAACATAAACATAAACAAAAGAAATGCAACGCTTCTAATAACCCTAATCCAAAAAGGCCGAAACACTGTTCCAGAAGAAAAACTAAAACTCGAAAATCTGAGAGAAATGCGACTACTGCGTACTCTTCTCCATCAATATGTGCTGCGCCTCAAAGGTTTCAAGATTTCCGGCGAGCGACAAGTCCGGACTCCCTGGTGACGGTGAAGGCGACGAGCGATAGGTTCTGGAATTATGAAGCGGCGCAGAAGACGAGAAGGCAAGAGACTACGAGAATTTTGGGGCGAGAAATCGAAGCGCAGGTGTAACCACATAGTTGTAATAGTTGATTAATTAGAGTTTCTTTAATAAAAGAAGTGACTTTACTCCCTAATCGGACTGTATTTGCTGGCTCGGTGAGTGAACCTGTTCTAGCGGCAGAGGGGAAACACAATATCTCTTTTTGGCTATTTCGATTTTCTTATATCGCTAATTGATACTTACTATAATAGGAAATTATTTGATTGCATCGATTATGCTGCTGCAGTCAATTCAATTCCGCAGACGGAAAAAAAATGCAGTAATGCGAACTGTTTGCAAGCAATAAATTATTGGGGTGGCCACATGACAAATTATTGGTTTACTTTTATTAAATTAGGTCCCTGTTGCGGTCCGAAAGCAAATTTAGGATAGTAAAAAATACATGTGTGTGTGTATCCATACATACATAAGTCTATATCTATATGTATATATTTACATATCTTCATGTATATATATACAGATATATACATTCATACAGACATACAAGTATATACACATATACATACATAGATATACATACATACCGATATATATATATATATATATATATATATACATACATTCATACATGTAAATATATATATATATGTGTGTGTGTCACTAGTTTTCTTTCTGACTAAAAATGAATCTAATAATTAAAGTAACTTTTTATAAAAGGTGTTTTGCAGGAGTAAAGCAAAATCCTTTGACAGTTGCCTTCAATTAGTTGAAGATAGCTAGTGGGGGTAATTATTGATGGGTGATTGATACGAATCAAATTGTGATATTTATATGGTTAAATTTCTTCTTTCAATTTAAAATTTAGATATTCACATTCAAAAACATTTGAGAATTATTAATTAGAGAATAATAGACATTTCAAATTCCTAAAAAAAAATGTGCTCAACAAGATATAATAATTCTCAATGAAATTGAAGAAAGTGAAAAGCTAAAATGACTATTAATTATGAAAGGTCTGATTCAAAATAAAAAATTAAAACAAGTGGTCACTCTTCCTAACTAATAAGTTAAGTTGAACATAAAAATAAAAAGTCAGTGTTCAAGTTATTTCCTAATTAATACAACTTACGAACTCTATTAAAGCAATTATTATAATATTATATCTAGAAAAAAGTAAGTCATTATGGGTTGGTTGGTTGACTATTAATTGATTTAAAAATATTTTAAGAAAATGAAACCATTTCAATCACATCATATTAAGAATTTTGAGATCTACTTAGGCTCAAGAAGAGGGAAATCAAATAAAAGGCTAAGTCATTAGAGTTTAATGAAAATTTGACCATGAAATGATATTTGCATGTCCTTTATTAAACTTGACACACCATAACCAAATTTTCCTCATCTGACATATATCTCGACGCATAGCACAGATCTCGATGCAACATTTTGATCGATGAACATTCAAATTTCAATTAGAAGTCATCCGGAGCGTCATTTTCAACAAACTTACAGTCAAATTGACTGAATTGACAAGACGGACCCAATGATCCCAAAATTGGTTCAGTTTGCGTCAAATCAAGCTCAGATCAAGCCATTAAACCATCCTTGGAAGTGTTCTAGACACATTTAGAAGGTTAAATTTAAAAGGTCAAACGAATATTGAATCTAGCAAGCCTATAATTGAATCAAGCATCTCAATAAGATGAATCCATGGAGCTCAAGATCGCTCAATTCTGCATTGTTAAGGCACTCAAATGCCCATCAAACACTGTCTGATTGAAGGAAGCTCGCCAGACTGTCAAATCAAAGTGGTTTATATTCCTGCACTAATTGCACCCATAACACTATAAATAGAGTTACACCCCTCTCGTGAGGGGGGGAAGAACCTAAGGCTTGAGAAAGAACTTCAAATTTTTTAGAAGGAGATGAAGTCCAGCACCACTCCTATCGTTGTCAACCACTGTCGACCATCGTCGATCACCATCATTTTTCATCTACCAACGTCGTATGTCGTCGGCTACCGTCGACCTCCATCCATCACTGTAAACAATCTTCAACCACCTCCAGCTGTTGTAGACCACCGCCAATCGTTGATGACCACTGTCAACCACCACCTGTCGGCCACCGCTGATCACTTTCGGTCGCCACTTGTTTATTGTAACAAGTTATCTAAATCTCGATGTTGCAACTTGGGCGACCTTGTAACCCTTTCCCACATGTGGGACAGGTGGTTGTAGCTGTAATATTTAATCTATAGTAGAACTCTTCAGCTGAGTCGGACCCCATAGTTTTTTTTTCCTTTAAGGGTTTTCCACGTAAAAACTTTTATCGTCACTAATAGTTTTTTTTTTTTTCAGAGCTTGTGTTGAATCTTTATGCCAAACTAAGACTATAATATGCTACTCTACTGTCATAATTTTTTTAGCATGCATCAGATTGACATCGACTGTGGGAAACTTCAATCCACCTACCACAGTACTTTAAGGCTTACAACATGACCACTTGACACAATATTCATGACAACGGAGTATCCCGCTCAAATACACATCATTTCAGGGAGCAGTCACGAGGCCAAGTATGGCAAGCTTTTTCATCTTCTCACCCTCGAAGACGTTATTATGTCAATGAGGGCATCTCGAGTCTTTCTATAGAAAACTGAATGTGCATAATGGGGGAGTCTCAACTATATATCCTACAGGTACTACGCGGGGCTTAGTAATCGTTGCCCACACCGTGAAATGAAGTTCGTTTACCACTAACTCAACAACCTATGAGAAATGCATTACTCTGAGGAACTTGTATCGACCCTTTGATACATCAAAAATATATAGTATTTATGTACATATTTTTATACCTATTTATGAGATATTGCATTTTAATGGAAGGTGCATTTTAATTTATGAGATATTGCATTTTAATGGAAGGTATTTGTGTGTTTTTCTTTCATGTACAATAAAAAATATAAAAAATAGTGAAATGAGTGAAAATTGATGCAATTTGAAGCAAAAATGATGAAAATGTGCAAAAGAATTGTAGCGTCTAAGCGCCCAAAGCTAGCGCTTAAGCACTAGTAATACAGAGAAGGTCGCGCCTAAGTGCCAGGAACCTCGCGCTTACGCGCCAGTGCCAGTTATTTCACAACTAATGAATTTTTATAGATTTTAAAAAGGTTTTTAAGGCACCCATTGCTGAAAAACGATGGTTATAACCACTAGAGATGAAAATATATTAAAAGGACTTTTGAAAGGAGGCATCTCTTGGAGAAATTCATCGAATATGGACACATTTTGAAGAGATACCAAGGCACCACTTAGAAAACTATAAAAAGAGGGAGTTGGAGTAAATTAAGGGTTTTTCTAGTTTTTTCATTGCTGCTCAAGGGAGACTCTTCTCTACGTTTTAGGAGAAACTTTTAGATGTCATTTACATTTACCTTTTCCTTTTCTAAGAGTGTTGTAAGAAAAAAAGAGATTCAAAGTAACTTCAAGAGTTTGGTGGAAGATTTTATAAAAGTTTCTATCTTTTTTTACTACATTTGATTTTAATTTAGACTTCATGTTGGTTTGACAATAATTTCTACTTTTAACCTAGATTGTGATTGTGTTTTCTCCATGAATTTTGAGTAGTTTTATTTACATTTTTCCATAAAATGATAAGTAATTAAATTTTTGGATGGAAGTGTGTGAAGTATTAGGCTTCAATGTAGAAAGTATTGGTCTTTAACACCGGAATAAGTTGTGATGATTTAAATCAATGTACTTTATTTACTTCTTGATTTAGCCCATTAAGTTGTTAAAATTTTTTGTGAAAAAATGTAACATTCATGATGGCATTGTCTCAATCAACAATTGGTAAGAATCACATGAGATTGTATGGATGAGAATGTAATTCATATGATTGAGTGCAAATAAATAGGAAAATAAAAGGTGTAGAGTTAGAGGACTTTAGAGTGACAGGCCAAAGCACCCAACTTGATTTATTGTTTTAGGTTTTGATACGAGATGTTAGCCCTATGTGGAGTGAGGAGATGGAACTTTGGAGTGAGAGCTGGTATATTCCCTACCTAACATGTCTTCAAAACTATTTAAACTTTAAATTCACCAATATTCTTTATAGCATCTCTAGTAAGAGTAAAGAATAATATTGCTCTTATTTGGCATAACATAATTTGAATACTTCCACAACATAATTCATATACTTGTTACTGATTTATGATAAGGAAAATTATATTTTATATTTAGTGCTTTTATCTTACAAAAACTCAAGTTATATTTAGTTGGTTGTTATTTTATTTTCAATTATAAAAAATATCCAAAAAGAATTAAACTTTCATTTCCATGATAATATCTATAGTTTGAGGAAGTGTCTTTTTAAAATAGAGGTTCGTTATCTAATTCCAGTGTTAAGAGTTAAATCAGTCCATGTGGGTTCGATATTCGGGGCTTAATCAAAATGTCTTATATTACTTGATAATGATACGTATGCTTGCACAGTATCCTAATATATAAATATAAAAATTGAACTCTTACTTTCTTCAGAGTTAAGTTTTTGGTGCACGTTGCAAAGTAAGAAATATAAATTAAAAATATAATCGCATATATTGTAATACTATTGCATATAGACTGTCGGGATCAAAAAGGACTTCCAAAAGGTTTTTTTTTCTCTTTATTACTCTCTCTCCCCTCTCTTTCTCTCGATATGAGAAAAATAGAGATCCTTCCATCACCTTCTTTTAGACCTTCTTCTTAGAAATATTGTTATTATCAGGTTATACGAACTCATAAATAATATGGAGCCATGCGTCCATCCTAAAAAGAGTTGAACAATGTATATAAGTTATTCACACTAGAGGTATGTCTCATATCATTAAAAAAAACTAAAAATTGAAGCCTAATTGATTATTGTTGCTATATATGATACATAAAAAATAATGTGTTATTTTAAGAATACATTTTATGCTTATTTTTTGTGATATTGCACTTTAAAGAAGGGTATTTTCATGTTTTTGTTGCAGGTATATCAACTTTAGACATTTGGAGTAAAAATAGCAAAAAAAGACGAAATTTCGAGCCAAAATAGCAAATTTTGTGATTCTGGCGCCTGAAGCATCACTTTATAGAGAGTTGGCACCTGAAGTGTCAATATACAGAGAGGCGGCGCCTCAAGCACCAGAATTGGAGCCTGAAATGCC